GAGTTTTGCTCATGTTTTCCTCCTTGTAAGGAAAGATAAAAATAACACCTAGCTGTGCCAATGCCCAGCCCTCACGTGGGTAAGCTGGGGACCAGGATCAGGCTGGTGCACTCGTGCAGCCAGGAAGACCAGTGCAGAGACGCAGGACAAGGTCTTTTTTGCTGCTGTATTACAGGAGATGTTTGGGTCTGGGTGGGAGCTCCCAGCAAAGTGCTTTGCTCTTTGCCTAGCTGACTGAATCTCCGCTGCAACGACTACGATTCTGTACATGCAACAGACATCTGCATTAAATATTCTTTAATACATGCTCAGCCCTGATAAGCGTAACTTCGGTTCTGTCAATGGAGTTAAACTGAATAAAAGTAGGCGCACACTCCTTCTGTCTAAAGTCATGTCACCTCAAATCCTGAAAAAAAGAGGACAACCTAGAAGGATAATCACTGGTTAATATGGAAACTGCAGAAATGAATAAAAAGGGTTAACTCTTCAAATACAATAGCTGTATTAAAAAGTTAGAGATCAATTCCTTCCTTCGGCTGTGAGTGGTGAATTCCCACCAGCTTTGCATACATCTGAAGGAAGATTTGGCCAAGCTCCTCTCTAAACGAAGCAAGCTGCGCTCAAGATCTGTTTTCCATTTGAGAGACAGCCAGCCATGCTATCATCCTTTCCAGTATAAACAAGCTATAGGGGGAAAAACAGGCTCTTATCTTATTTCTGGTGGAACGGGTAGGCACTTAAAATAACAAGCACTCAGCAAAGTTACCCAACATCTACAGAAACTTTTAATCCTTCACTTGTTTGACTCCTCCATTGTAACTGGACTCCAAAAAGATGTGAAAGCCCCCAATATGACAGATGAGTCCTTCGTTAGCTGAAGCTCCAGAAACCGCTCTATCTGCAGCGCATGAAGCAAGGTCCCACTCATGGCTCCTCTTGTGTGTCACATGAATCCTCAGAGATATTTTTCATCCCCTGTCCCATCACTACCCAATTAAGTCAGGTGTTACAACAGGCCTAAAACATTCATCCGCTAATGAGAAGTCCCAATTACTTACTGCATGCCACAAAAAAACCTAAGCAAGGACTTGATTTGGGATATATGTGACACTATAATCTGAAAACATGTATTTGTAAAGAAATCCTTTTTGCTCATTTCTTGCTATTAAGTCTTTGATATGAAGCAAACCTTTGAAGAGATGACCTCCTCCCTATTCATGCAGTAAAAACAACACAAAGCCACTAGGACTCACTTTTCCAGCCTGTCCTGCACAAGTCTCCTTTAGAGATGTGCTGTGTTAGTTCTGATAAAATAAATCAGCACAAGGGCGTTAACGTCATCTTGTCATCATGCAGCCATAAAACCTGAGACAAAATCTGAGGTTTTGATAAGATTCTGTTGTACTTCGTTCTAAAACAAGGCTTTCTTAAGCTTTTATCAAAGCGAAAGAGACAAGGGCAAAGGGAAGGTCATGCATCTGGGACAGAATAACACGTTGAAACAATACAGGCTGTGGGCTGGCTGGAGGGCAGATCTGCTGACCACAACATGGGGGCTGGTCCCGGTGGGCAGCAAGCTGGACACAAGCCGGCCTTTGCTTCTGGTGCTGCTCTTCTCCAGTTTGCCAGATACAGTCTTCAGCTGAGAAGCGTTTAGATTTGGATGAATCCCATTTCAGAGTAATTTGGGTTGGCAAGGACCTCTGGAAGCCACCGGTGCAGTCCCCTGCTCCAGGCCAGTCAATGTCGGAGCTATGTTACGTGGCTCAGGTCCTCACCCAGTCACTTGTACCAGTGTTTGAGCACCCTCATGGTGAGGGTGTTTTGCCTTACACCTAACTGGGATTTTCCTTGCGGCAACTTGTGTCCATTGCCCTTTGTCCGTCATTTTGCAACTCCAAGGAGAGTCTGGTCCCATCTTCTCACAACCACCCATTAGGTAGCTGAAAACAGCGAGTGGATCCCCTCTGCCCTTCAGCAGCCACTTCTCCACCCAAAGCAAGCCCAGCTCTCAGCCTCCCAGGCATCCTGGCTGCCCTCCACTGGACTCGCCCCAGTTTGTCAATGTCTTTCTTGTACTGGGGAGACCACCACCACACACAGACCCATCTTTTCCTTTTTTTTTTTTTTTTTAATAAGTGACTTTTCAGAGCTGGAGGTATTTGATTTTCCCTACCTTGGACATTTAAGAGTGGAAGTGTTCGTGCAACAGGTACTGAAATGGAGGTTTTGGACTGTCCCTGACAATTTATACTTTTGAAAAGCTATCGCATGACATACAAGCTTCCACCTAGACATAACAGTACTAGAAACCTTCTTGGGAAGGATCCTAGGCTGATCACCAACATCAAGCCTCAAACCCTGAAGAAGGAACAGAAAAACAGCCACAGGGTTACTCAAGCTGCCATTACTCCAGAGTGTTACTTCACACTTCAAAATGAACATAAGGACAAGCAGGTTCAGGTATGACAAGATCCATCCTCTCTCTAATCTTAGTATCCAACCCTGATTACACAAGTAAAACTTGGAGTTAGGCAGCCAAGGTTGGTGTCCCTGTAGGGCTGTGTAAGAGAGTGCTGATGCAGTGCCTCTTCCCATGGCATGTTATGGAGGGCATGTGCACCCAAAGGTGAGGTTGAATGGGAAGCCCACACACTCCTGGAAGAACCATGTCTCCTTGTGACAGCACTGCCACTGCCTTGCTGGCAGCCTTCTCACTGCCCTTTATCACTTATGACATTTTTTTTTGGCACAAACCGAACACCTAGCTCATGAGGGAGAGCAGGGAAGGTGCCTGGTGGAGTCAGTGTCAATGTACTTCTTGGAGCTGTGCGGGACAGCAGGCTGTGCTGGTCCAGTGCAGAGAGCCGCTCCTGCATGGCTAGCGCTGCCTGTCAGGTCCCTCTTTGGCGTCATAAGCAAACGC